GGGATACCTTCGACTCACCATATTTACCCGAGCATTGTGCCCTAACGGATTCATCACTATCACCTCATTGTTAGTAGCTTCTAACTGAATGTTTAATTCTCTCACTAACTTACTAGTAATGTATGAATATGTAGACCCCGTATCAATCAATACTATAACATGTTTATCAAACAGCATAAATGTACATGTTATAATCTCCGGATCATCCCGATCGTCATTGGTTCTAAGATTATACACTCGAGCAGTGCAACGTATCTCTTGTTGAGCAGAGAACTCTGACTGACTTCTTCCTCTGCCTCTACATTTTCCCCTTTGGCCTGTAGAAATAGACCTCTCTGGCTGTGCAGATTCATCGACTACCCTAGGACAATCCCAAACAAAATGTCTGGTGTCCCCACATCTAAAGCAAGCTCCAAAAATCATTCTACATATCCCGAAATGATTTTTTCCACAATGTGGGCATTGTCGGACTTGGCTTTGGTTAGATCTCCCAGCTCCCAATCCCACTGACTAAGTTTGTCTGACTCTCATTGGATTTAATCCTCTAGCAGATGATGCCACTGATTCTGACCGTGCTTGGGGTCGAGGACTAACATCTCTGCCCCTTTTTGATGGTGTAGTACTCGATGATGCACCCGATCTTTTCGATGTCTGAGCTCGAGAATCTCCGAACCTCTCATTCTAAGCTCTTTCCAAAGCTTTAGCACGATTCACCACTTCTTGAAATGAAGATAAATTCAACACAATTAACATCTCTTTCAGCCGAGGACGCAATCCCTCTACAAACTAATCACAAGCATCCTTATCCGTAGGAATTAATTCAATAGCGAAACGACTTAACTTGTTGAATTCACATTCGTACTCATACACTGTACGGTTTCATTGCTTCAGATTCATAAACTCTTGCTTCATTTGTCGAATGAATTGATCTCCGATGTATTTATGCTTGAACTCTTCTAAAAACAAGTACCAAGTTACTTGATCATCAGACATTCTCAATGTAACGTTGGTCCACCAAATTCTAGCTTGCCCTCGAAGCAAGGAGACGACTCCATCCAGCTTGTCAGCATCGGAACAATAAAGTCCCTCAAGCATGATTTTCACATCATTAATCCAAAGGTCCACAGCAACAGGACCTTCATCAGCTTCCCCTTTAAACTCTGGAGCTCCTAAACCCTTCAACTCTTTTGCAACATTCATTTTTGGAGTTGAAGTAACAGGAGGTTGAAAACGCGTCAATACTGCGTCTAAAGTTCTAAAGAACACATCTTGATCATTCACAGGCACTCCAGAGGGTATCTGTTCTTCACTCTGCCTGGCCAGGGCAGGTGAATTACTGCTTTCAGCGGGTATATCATCTCCTGCTTCATTTTTAGAACTACCTTGTCCGGACATCTATAAAAATACAATCATATAGTTATATTAGCATAACAGTATACTTACTATTCCATGAAATCAGAAGTTTTCCCTATTTTGTTGGCATGTATACCTTATAAAACACTCTAGACTCCGGTTTATACCGAGAATCGACTAAACCTTAGCTCTGATGCCATTAACTGTAACACCCCAACCCGTACCCGACTCGAATACGAGTCTGAGGTGTCACTTTGAATTTTCAAACTTTGACTCTTAAAGAAAAACTCCGGGAATTTAAAACTTTGTTTAAAACAAAATACGTTAATTTACATAAAAGATACCACAAAATACAAACTCAATCAGAGTGCTCATAATGAACGACTTATTACATGCCAACACTCTATACACAACAAAATACCTACTTTGTCGATTACTTCTGATCTGATCTTCTAGTAATAATATTGTTCTTGCTACTTCTATTCTTGCTCTTCTCGTTTCTTGGTACCTACGTGTAAATCACTTACACGCTAAGTCATAGACTTACTGAGGCAATAAATAAACATGTAATAGTAGATTCATGAATCTGCATTCTTACCATTTGATCATGATATTTCAATATGCATGTATATATTTCATATGACATATATAACCAAGTCATGCACACATGAAACTTACCTTTTTGCATCACTTTCACTTTAATTTATATTTCAATTGCCCATGTATATTGTTGTTGAGAATAAAGGTATGTGAGTACATTGAGGTTGTGCACTAATGCTGTCACCACAGCTCGTATAAATTCCCTCATGGGCACCGAACATTTGTTCAGTATTCATCCCGAATGACTGCTATATATGTCCCGTAGGACTACGTCCCGAAGGACTACAATACCCTCGACTCTTGGCATGCCAACTATACTTATAGCTCTCGTATCATATACTATAGGCATTTACGATGAATACATTTCTCAACACTTGTTCTTTCTTTTCTGTCATATACCACATGTATGTGTAACCATGTATTTCATATCATATCACATAACTTATCTCATTTCACATTAGACATGTCTCATAGCATATATCACATATGCATATAATCATGTATATCATATCATATATCTTATGTTTTATGCTCTTATGTCTATGCATATCATATAACATATATAATAACTTATACCCATTTCATGTATTCATGCACATATAAGCATCACAAATCAAATAACATTTTAGGAGTCACTTTTTACCATAGTAACTCCATCACTAGCTCATCGCAAGCCAATGTTCGTTCAATAATATAAGTACAATTAAAATTGCTCTCACCTTAGCCTTATTTGCTTTGATTCGATCTTAATCCTTTGATTATTCTGTAACTTGTTTAGACTCAATATCTACATAAATATAACATTTCAAAACAACTATCAGAAGCCTAAACGTTAAACTTGATGTTAACAACTTAAACCAAATTAAAGAACCAAATTATATTTTTCATTTAGGGGGAATCGATACCCCCTGAACATACTGGAATTTTTCGTTCAAGAGGGGGGAATCGATACCCTATATCGATTCCCTCTACCCATAAATTGTATTTTAAGCCCGAAAATCATCAATTCTTCATTTAATTCTTCTACTTTAAGCCCCTATCATGTCATTAAACCTAACCACCATTACTTAAACCAATTTATATCCATGAAAACCATCCATAACCTCAAAATCCTATCCCTCATATGTAAATCAAGAATCTTACTCAAATTTCAATATGTTCTAAATACAACTCTAACACTTCATATTCCTTAATTAGCATGATGACAAGTCAAATTTAACTTCAAATTCAACTTATCAACTCTTTTCCATAATTTCATATAAAACCCCATTTTCTTTACTTTCTTATAACTTCTTCATCTTTTGATTATAAGACAACTTAAGCTTTCCTTAAGCTTAGTTATCTTCTAATGATCAAAACCTAACTTTTAATTTAACAAATAACCAAAAAATCAGAAAACTCACCTCATGCTTCAAGCCTCACGTATGAAGAACAAAGAGGAGAAGATAGCTCTGGAGAATTATCTCATCTTCCACGTGTATCTCTCTAAATAGAGAGATGACAATATCTTTTAAGCTAAATTACCATACTATCCTTTTAATTCTTTCATATTCACCACTTAATCCAACTGAAATATTCCTATTTAAATCAAGAAATTCTAAAACTTTACAATAAAGTACTAACCCGTAGTTTGGGATGTTACACATGCCCATCCATAGCAATAGCTAATAATGTTTTTCACTAATTTGATAGTAACATATAGATATAAACATAATATAAATATACATATTATACGAAATTAAGCTTGAATTTTACAGATAACAGTATTAGAAGAAACAATGGTAAAGTACTTGTTTGGTTATCCATCTATTATTTAGTTTCTGTTTTGGTTATTCGATTATTTTTTAATAAAAATCATACAATCATTTTTGAATGTGCAACTAAAAATGTTCGATTCGTAAAATTAAAACCGGCATCACTCGAACATGATACATTGATTACTTAATTATTATTTAAACAATAATATTAATATAATCAAAATTAGCCAATAATCTTATTTGATTGAACCTAATTGAATCTTATGTCAACAGGTAGTAATAAAGGCAAATCCTCGGCTTGAGGCTTGAGCCATTGATATTGTAAGGTAGCATTAGCCAAGTGAGCCGGTTCGTGGGGCCGCAGCGTGGGTGACATCCATGATTGGTGTTGGCTTATTGCCCTGCAGGCTCTAAAAGGCTCCAAAGGAAAATTTTCACCACCGAAGGCTTCCTTCTGCTCAATCTCGCTCAACATACAAAGCCGAGTGTCTATCCTATCAAATCGCAAATTCAAAGCCACTGCGAGTCAAGTGCACTTCCAGATATCTTTTAATCGCTAAAACTTCACGATTAGTCCTCACCTGGGCGTTTCCTATACACGCGTCGCGTTTTCTTCGAATGCGTTGGAACCCAACATCTTTAAAGAGAGTGAGATTGATTAGAGTCCTGAAACTTTTGGTTTCTTTTGGCTTTTAGTTGTTGAAAACGTTTCGCCGACTTATATCTGACCACGGTCAGTCTAAAGATTGGAGGACCTGCCATGTGGGATCTAATACTCCGTTTTTGATTTCTTTGCCTTTGTTCAAGGGACCCATACAAACTTATTTCATAAGACTAAAATATCCCTATATTATATTATTGATATTAAATTTATATAATAAATTGATCTCTATCGAATAAGATAATAATCAAATAAATCCTTACATGAAATGTTGTTTCAGACTGCTAATGAGAAAGAATATGTTATTACATTGATACATTTTAACTTAAAAAATTATGATATTTTGAAAATAAAAAATTATATTTTGATCAAATTATTATTAAAAAAATATAATTGAACTTTTAAATTTTATTTAATTATATTTTTAAATACAATTTAATTAAAATAATATTTCATTCAAATATTTATTTAATTATCGAGTAATTGACATGATTAATTTATTATATAACTTTAATGTTAATCTCTTTTTCCAAACAACTAAACAAAACAAAAGAAAGAATCAGGGTAGTTTTGACTTTTTGAAATCTTAGCCCACTTTCCCTGACTCACTCGCATAAGAACAACTCCGGTCCGAAAAGAAACAGCAATAGGTACCTTCCTCTTTTTACAGTGTATGCTCTCAATATCATCATAATAATAAAGATCCAGAAGCTGCTAAAAGGCGTTTTGCTGAGATTAGAAAAAAATGAGTAGTGCAGTTAGGAATCAAGGAAGCTGCGTTGCAATCCGCGCTTTCTCCCCTTCCTCTTCCTTTAACCGTTGCTCTCACGGCTCTGCTTCTTCAGGTATTTCTCTCTCCGCCTCTGTAATTCGATGCTCAATTTGTAAATCAATTTTTGTATTATGTGTCTATATGTATGTATTTGCGGTGATTCTTACTTCTTTGATGATCCCAACACAACAATGGTGTTGATTACAGAGTTCTCGTTTCGCTTTTTTTCTTCTTATCCTGTAAGGTTTATGATTTTGTAAAATTGAATTTCTTTAAATTTTGTTTTGTGATAGAAAAATAATTGAGGAAAAATGATAACGAGGAATATTTTTCGTAGTGTGGGAGATGAGTATGTACTACACTAATGAATATTTTGTTTTAATGGTGGATGATTCGCTTCCTCCGATCAGAATCTGGAAATGTTAAGCTCATTTTGACTTCAAGTACTGAAAAAGATGGAAAAAAAATCCTGATTAATCTCCATTTGTCATGCGAGAAACTGGAACGATTGCTGCAATTTCTGGCGTAATCATGGTGGATTTGTCGCAATTTAGGGTTTTTGTAGCAGTCCAGCCCAATCATCGTCCGTCAGTGGCCCGTGATTAGTCTAGGTTCGTCCTTATTGGACATATTATAATGTCACCCGCACATGATCATAGCCCGCCCACTCCTTAACCTAAAACATTAGACCTCGTAAATAATATACAATGTGATTAGTTTTGACGAAAATTACATTGTTGACGTGTCTGTTAAATAGAATTTTATTTTAAAGATTTTGCGTAGTCACAGGTTGAACTACTTTTTATGTACCTTATTTTGGTATGATGCTGACCGTTTGATGTGAAGTTTGATTTTATTTTTCATATAGTATGATTAAAAAGTCTCATCTTTCATAACCCACTCTGCTTTTTTACCCTAATATTTGCTTTGAAGTTACAATATTGACTTTTGGCTGGCGATTTCCTCGCGCGTTATTTAAGAGCGTGTTATGCAGACTACGACCACTTTGTATCTATTTTCTCATAGGGTAGTGGTCCCCACCACTTGCATGCGAGTGCCGCTGAGAACTGCTATATCCAGTATAATGATTTGAATTTCTTTGGCCAATAACTCAATGATTTGATGAAGTCCAGAATTCATGGACTAGTTTCTTTCCTGGATGCAGCAACATTGGCTGTGGAAATAGAAAGCTTCTACACCAGTGGTGGATCCACGAAGGGACGAGGATGGACATTTGAAATTTAATAATTATCTATTTTAGTGGATGTGTCTGCCATGTACACAAAGTTTTATGTGGTTAATATATATATATATATATATATATTCATCTTAAAAAAATATTTTTCGATCTGACACTATTCTACACCACCTGAAACCATTTTACTTTTTCTTCTATTTATTTATTTTTTATGTCAAGTGAAAACTATCGGCTGATGTAAAATGGTACGGTTCAGCTCTTCATCTAGGTCGCTAAGCACCAAAAATGGTCTTTGCTTCTGCTTGTTTCATGAAAGTTCTTTTGTTTTTACTTTCATATTCTTTTAGAAAAAAATAGTTTGGGTTTGAAGATGTGATTGTAATAGAATTTGGATGACAAATGTGAAAAAGAAAGAGGTCCAATGGGTGTAACAATGTATGCAGATGGTACAACCTGTGGAAAGCCAGCTTGGATTGGTAAGGGCCTTACTTGTGTTTGTTTCAAGCGGAAGGGAGTTTATGAAGGGGTCTGCATTAGCTTGACACCCAAACAGGCAAGTACATGATGATGATTTTCACTTTTAATATTGACCAATAAAAATGTATTCATTGTGTTGATTGCAAACAACTTACATATATATGTTATATTAAGCCAGTTTTTTTTGTTTTTCTAATCTATGTAGCTTCCTTATATGTGATAGACTCGTTAGCAAATTGCAGGAAGAAAGATTGAAGAGGTTGAGGCACCGGATGAAGGTGTACTTTGATGGTTCCAGGCGTGATCATCAGGTTTGATTCTGCATTTTTATTTTATTCTTCACATGTAAATCTGAAGATGGTGATTTGCTTTACACTTTAATGTTGTTCATTGAAGGCAATCAAATCTTCCATATTCATTAGGATTTACTGATGAAGTACCTAAAGACAGTGCAATGTAAATTATCAGTTCCATGTTCTCTTCTTTCAGCCAACTTACCTACAATTATCATGGCGACAGGAAGCATTGAGAGCACTATGGTCTGCGACATACCCTGGAAAGGAACTGCATGGCTTGATATCCGATCAGTGGAAAGAAATGGGATGGCAGGGAAGGGATCCATCTACTGATTTCAGGTTGGCATTAATTTACTGCTATTTTTTATTTGGCAAATTATTTCTTATTGTTCATGTTTTCCAACTTATTTTTCCTTGCCAAACAGAGGTGCTGGATTCATTTCTTTGGAGAACCTGTTATTCTTTGCCAAGACATTCTCGGCAAGTATATCATTCTCGTGAGCATTTTGTTTCAAGTCATTTGCACTTACCCTTGTTTACGATGGTACACAAATCACCTTTGTTGTTCGGTCCATTTTTTTCTAAAGCATTAAGCATCCATGTCTATTTGAACATAGAAAAAAAACTAAACATAGCCTTATCGAATACATACCCATATTTGACACTCCATGTAAGTTGAAGTACTTAGTGAGGGGATCCAATTGTATATAGTTTATACAGAGACGGGTGGCAAGTAAATTAGCAGCATCCATCATTATAATGCATTGTGAGTTGTTGTTGCAGACGTCATTTCAAGGGCTATTAAAAAAGCAAGGTGGAAAGCGATCTGCATGGGAGTACCCATTTGCTGTTGCAGGTGTAAATATCACATTCATGATCATGCAAATGCTGGACCTTGACGCCTGTAAGTGGATAATGAATACCTTAACCATGTTAATTTCAAATAATTGAAGTTTTAGTTTGATTGCTGATGCAGCGAAACCGGGGACGTTTATCAGATCAGTTTTCTTACAGATATTATCAGGTAAGGAAGAGGGTGGCTGCATCCGATGACGTGATTTGCGAGGACACAAGTAACGTAAGTAGTTTTTTTGTGCAGAGAATGAATGGGCGTTTGACTTGCTATACTGCGTGGCGTTCGTGGTTATGGACAAGCAATGGCTGGAGAGAAATGCGACGTACATGGAGTTCAATGTAAGAATAATATCCCAATGGTAATAATAGTATTTATTAGCCATAATTACTAATGGATGATGTGTACAGGAAGTATTGAAATCCACAAGGGCTCAGTTGGAAAGAGAACTCCTGATGGATGATGTGTTGCGGATTGAAGACATGCCTTCTTATACCCTTCTCTGTTAGCCACAATTACTACTATATTACTCAGATTAGGAGTTAAGGTTTTTAAGTTTAAAGTTTGTATAATCCCTCATTTTTTTTCTATTTTGGATATCTCCGTATTATAATGCCCGTACTTTTAAAACGACTATAATTTAAAATATATTTATTTATTTAAAGGTGTAATTATAAAATTACTTTCTCCCTTTAAGTTAAAAAGTCTTGAAACATATATATATATTTTAAAATAATATTATTTTAAAAAATATTTAAGATTTTATTTTTTTAAATACTTTAAGCTTTTCATATTTTCAAAATAAATTATTTTATTTGTCATATTGTCTTGCCTTCTTTAAATGATATGTTATCATCTTAAATGAAAAACGAGTGGGTATAAATGGTAAAAATAATGACGGTGAGTTTGATGTATTATCTTAAAATAATATTACATCAATATAAAAATATTTTTAAAAATTATTATGTTATTATTGAATATTTTTTAAAAAAATATGTCAATAATTCTATTAATTTTTTAACAGCAACGATCAAAATAAAAATATTAGATATAATTTTAAAAAATAATAATTTAATGACTAAAATATAATAAAAGTGATAGTTAAAATACTAAATGTGTAATTTACCTTATATTTTAATAAATTCAAAATTGTATATTGAGGTTAGGTGAGCGACAACAATCTTGTTTTGAGTTGGTTAGATTCCTTCCAAAATCAATATATATATATATAGATATAATATTTAATTTAACATTAAAAAAATTTGCATGCATTTTATTCCAATAATTCAAAATTTGGTAAGCACCAACAACTGGATTTATTAGCGATGCGATGAAAAGGACTATAGTTGAAGAGTATTAAAATGTTGAAAAATTAATGGTGTAACCGTTTGAGAAAATTAAATTAAAATATCAATAATTAGTGAGTCTAACGAGATAAGATATTAGATCTTTTTAAGTAAAGTCAAGAATTTGAATTCATACGTTATAAATGAAAAAAATTGATTGGAAAGATTGTATCATAATAAGTCTCTTCGGTGTTTGATCATAATTAATTGATCAATATATTAACTTGTTAGGAGGCTCAATTTGAACAACCGAAAAATATATAAGAAGGGTGAATTGGCAAAAACGGTTTAGGGAGTAAGGAGAAAGAAAAGATAGAAACTTTTGCATAGTAATTTATAGTAGTTCGACTTCTCAACTAAGTCTAAACCACCTTATCTCCTCACTAAGGATTTTCCAACAAATCTACTAATTTATTCTTTCTTTTTCTATGATCAAGAGTTATCTTTACAAACTCCCTAGTTTTTTACTTGGCTAAATTAGAACCAATCCTCTTTACAAAAGAATAAAAAGAAGTAAACAAATAAAACCTCTACAAGGTATGGTGTTTACAAAATTAAGGCCCACAAGAACAAAATATTTACAAGAGAATATAATAAAGAGTAAAAAACTCTTCTCTTGTTTTTAATTGCTTAGATATGTGTTCTGACCATTTTTCAAGTGTCTTGAACTTGTATTTATATGTTGGAATGAAATTGTGGTTGTTTCCTTAGATATGTGTTCTGACCATTTTTCAAGTGTCTTGAACTTGTATTTATATGTTGGAATGAAATTGTGGTTGTTTCTAACCGTTGGGGATGTTTTTTTTCCTGCAAAACAAAACTACCCAGAACAGAGGGTGTTGATACTCCTATAGGGAGTATCAGTACTTCCTTTATATTTTTAAATGAAACTAGTCGTTAAATAGCCGTTGGGCCTGACGATATCGATACTAAGTCTATTGTATCGATACTACTATGTAAAGTAATATCGATACCCCTTTGGGTATCGATACCATTTTTGCATTATGGAATTTGAGCAATGCAGGTAGTATCGATACTACCTCGAGAGTATCGATACTTCTCTTACATTAGGTATCAGTACCACATGAACAATATCGATACTGTTCATATAGTATCGATACTGTAAGAACAATATCAGTACTACTTGTACGTGAAAAAATGTTTAGTGCTCAAATTTAATTTTAATGGATTTTGAATTAATTTTGAAAACTTTGAATAAATTCAATTTAAGTCCAAAAACATTTTGCCTTAAATTGTTATATCAAAATATAATTCAACATAACTACGGGTAGTTTAATTATACAAGTTAATGATAAGGAAAACACACCTTAATTTCATATTCAATCTTTCCTAGAAAGGTGAAGGAGGTGGAATAATGTGTTGGGCTGAAAATGATAATCTAACTATTCCCAAATCCTCAATCAATATTATATTTGTCTTGTTCCTAATCATTAGTTATGGAAGGAATCTCAAAATTATTGCATTTTTGGAATATTGTCTTTGACCTTCAAAATTAGGTAAGCTTAACTATTCTAGAGGAAAGATCAGTAATTCAAGATTGAACCATTGGATCAACTGGTTCAGAATCGCCTAGCCAGTGACTCATCACACATTTTAACAATGGATTGCAATACTTTACCTAAGATGAATGTGAATACGATGCATGCAATGTAATGCTTGATTAACAATACATAACCTAAAGTAAACAAGATGGAGAGAGTCATTTTCTCTTTCTTTTTCATATTTAAATTCAAAATAACCAGGAGCTGGAAAGGTCGAACCTGGAAAAATTTCATGAAAATGAACGACTCTTGAACCCAAAGCTTCACTAGCACCTAACTCTGCCAGCCTTGTCTTCTAAGCAAAAAGCTCACGCCTCCATTATTCTTTCTCAAACCAGCAGGTTCCACTTTGTTTTAGTCTGAGTGTCCAAGCCAGAGCGTCCGGTTTCTAGCGGTTTCAAGTCCCCGAGCTGAAGCCGGCACCGAAACACGGATAGGATGGGATCGCTCCAAGCGCCTCCTGGAACGAGAAGCTCTGCATTGTTAGAAACTTCATGCGGGTATTTACTTCAAGAGTTGCAGGCAAGAGATTGTTCTTTTTTTCCCCCTTCTTGTTTTGATATTTTTACATAAGTTGTGGTTGTAATCATATCATACCTTGTGCTGCGTAATGCAATAGATGATATGAAATGAAGTTGGAGAAGATCAGTCGGAAAGAGAGAAGGTTTTACTAGAATTGGAACAAGAATGTCTGGAGGTCTACCGGAGAAAAGTCGACCGTGCAAATATGTCAAGAGCTATCCCGAATCAGGAACTGGCTGAATCTGAAGCTGAATTCACCCACCTTCTCTTGTCGCTTGATGAACGATCCCTTCCCGGACGGGTACCTTACCAATCAATCTAGATTTCATTAATTTTTCTGTCATAAAAGAAACAATTGACAACAACTTTACCTGCCATTGGTCGAATTGGATAAAAACAAGGGGCTTGATCCAGTCTAAATGCAACACAATGAAAGGTAAATGTCAATGTCGATACAACACAATTAATTTTATGACCTCCTACTTATTGTCACTGCAGACAGAAAATATCAGGAACAATAAAGCAACAACTTGATTCCATTACTCCACCATTGCGGGATATGCGGTTGAGGAAAGAAGAGAGAGTAAACCAGTTCCGAGCTGTACAAGGGAAATCCAGAAAATCTCAGCCAAAAATGCTGGTCGGTTGGAGTATGATGACTCGATAACAAATGTTACAGTGAATGAGAATGATCTTTCTTTGAAGAAACTTGAGGAATATCAAACTGAGCTACAAAGACTCCACAAAGAGAATGTACATAATCTCAAATTTTCTATCAAGGAAGTTTTATAGACGAATTATCCTAATTAACATCATATACTTTTCTTTCCTGTATCATTCTTCCGTAGACCAACAGACTTCAGCAAGTTGAAAAATATATAGCTGCTGTTCACAATTTGCAACATTGGGGATGGAATCTTCCATGATTATTACAAAAGTTCACCTGAGCTTGAATGAGTTGTGTGGGATTTCAAAAAATAAGTGATGTTATTTTGGCTAAACTCAATAGCACTGTGAAATCTCTGCAAGAAGAAAAACAAAAGCCACTCGAGAAGGTAAAATGTCGTGCCGTTATTCTTCTGAACAGATCTTATAAGGGGAGCTGGCACTATGCTGTTGACTGTAGCAAAAAAAGTACATAGTTCTTAATTGTTATCTAACCTCATAAAGGACAACATGAACATAAATCATAGTAAAAGGTAAAAAGAGAAGACATTTGATTTCTCGAATTCTCAACTTTGGCCATGAACGACATAAGATTCTTCACTCTGTCATAAGGTAAATATTTTTCATGACAATCTTTAGCTGAATTTCCGTCAACTTTGCAGCTTCACCAACTTGGTAAAGCACTGAAAAACTTGTGGAGCCTAATAGATACTTCCTACGGAGATCACTATTTGTTTTCCCATGTTATTGGTCTATTATCAGTCTCATCAGCAGAAGTATCTGATCCTGGAAGCCTTACACTGGATATAATCCAACAGGTTGTTTATAAGATCATCATCACCCTAAACTATCAAAGCAACTATAAACATAAAAGTTTCTTTTAAATGTTTCAAGGCTGAAGCCGAAGTCAAGAGATTAGATCAATTAAAGGCGAGCAAAATGAAAGAGTTATTTCTCAAGAAACAGAATGAGCTTGAAGATATTTGCAATAAATCACACATGGAGATTCCTTCAAGATCAGAGATGGAAAATATACTAAACCTGATAAACACAGGTGTGATTGAACAAATAACATCTATTATCAAATTTCATTTTCTCCATGTTTATATCTAAAGTACACAGGACCTAACTATCTAATGTACAAAAGGGATTGACCATGTCGAGCTCCTCATGAGCATAGATGAACAGATATCAAAAGCAAAGGAAGAAGCCTCCAGCAGAAAATCCATAATGGAGAAGTGGATACTAGCTCGCGAGGAAAAACACTGGCTGGAAGAATATAGCATGGCTAATGATCTTACAACAATTTTTCTGCACAACTAGTTGGTTATCTTTCTAGCTCAATCTTTTTCATGTTTCCTATTTCATAACTATTTTCAGGATGAGAATAGATATTCGGTCAGCAGGGGAGCTCAATGGAATTTGAGACGTGCAGAAAAGGCCAGGGTAACAGTCAACAATATCCCAGGTATAAAAATAGAAAACATCCGTCATATTAGAGATAATTCCCTCATGGAATTGACTCAAACCAGAAAATTTTTCAAAACTTGCATTATCAATTAGATTGTGTGAAGCTTTCGGCATTCTACCTTCAAAGCATGTTTCTCAAGCATCAAACGGTGAATCTTAATCTCTTATTGTGTGCATGAATGCATGTATATATTTTTGGAGATATAAATTCTTCACTGAAAATACACGACAGTAGTTCATTAAGGGAAATATCAATATGAACCCAGCACGACAGAAAGAAATTAACGACTAATCCCAGCATAAGTGATTCAATTTTATGTTCTGAGTTTCAGATTTAACATTACTCCTGATTACTTACTCCTGAACTTCCTCGTGCTTTTTCCCTCTAGGTCATGATTATATAACATTAATCAGATACCCTCTACAGGAAAATTATCTAATAGATCATAAGTTAACAAACAAAATAAATGTTTAAAAGGAATATCATTAAGGAATGCATCAAGACATGCAACTCTCAGATCCTGAACTTATTACTTGGATTCCTGGCTTTAAAAATTCTACATGAACTAAATTGAATTATGTTTTTTCATATAATATCTAAAGCATGATTAATCAATCAAACAAACTGCCATTAGGGAATGACATCTATGGTCATCTAGGTACCTCTTTTGGCAATGTTGGAAGAGTACAACCTGTCTCGGCAAGAAAGAGAAGAAGAAAAGCAAAGGCAACGGGTCAATATAATTCCACGTTCAACCAAAAGTAAAATTCAACATTCATAATGACCTGTTTAACCAGACCTCTCTAATATGCTGAAATATGTCCCAGCAGATGAAGAAGGTTCAAAGCCAGGTAATCGTTGAGCAAGAAAACTTCATTACATCTAGGCCAACCACCAGTAATCGGCGCCTTTCAAACAAGAGCTTGAATAGAGGTTCTGGCAATGCAACCCAGGGAGGCTTTCCTTGGGTATCCATCAGCTAGGATCAAACGGCAAAAGCTCAGTGAGACAAGGTACATCCTTGATAAAAAAAAAAGGAAAGAAACAGCAAGGGAAATAGATATTGCCTCCACTCTATTTCAACTATCCGCTAAGAGATGAAACAGCTTCAGTGGTACCGACATTTCCGTGCCCTTGTCACCATGAAATTATGAAAAAACCCATTCTGATCTAATGCACTAGTAACCGGAAAAGCCATTGTAAGTTAGAAGAAGAAAAGAATATGTTTGCAGAAAATAAATACAGTTTGTCAAAAGAACTTGCTATGTAATTATTTGTCATTGCAAAGAAAAAAATGGGAATTATTTTCGATTTCTTTCTATTTCGGTGCGTGATGATCAAATAGCTAGAGTTTTCAATCTTCCGATACTCAGTAAGAAACGCTCTAATTTATTACAAATCAAATTCGATTGCAATCAAATTTGTCAAAAGAAAACTAGCATTTAATATAGATTTTGCTAAATAGAAAAGGAAAATCTATATATCATTTATCTGAACCGGAGCATCATTTTCTGGCTTGCGAAAGAAGTTATCTATGCGGCGAGTTCCAGCTGGGGCGGGTTTATCAGCAACGGGCCGGGAAAGATCTCGATCACTCACTGAATTAGCAACGGGCTGTGTAGATTCGGCTGGAACGGGAAGTGAGTCGAGAAGGAAATCGCTCGTTGGTCTATGCCTTTTGACGCCAGTTCTGAGGTGATCAAGCTTCACCGTCTTTTTCTTCTTCTCGGCAGCGACTTCAGCCGATCTTTCGGCGAGGAGTTGGAGGAAAAGATTAGTGGAACAGGAAATGAGGAATAAGGCCTCCGAGTTTACCTTGTTGATGTCCTTGTCAAGTTTCATGATTTTTTTAACCCTTCCGGTAGGAAATTCGGGTAGGATCTGATCGACAACTTCATCTTCTGCCATTGATGAGACGTACTGTAAAGAATTGGAAGCGAAAATGAAAGCATTTAAAGAGGATTTGAGGTTTTTAATTGGCGGGAACTTTGTTGTTCTTCTGAAAAACTTCTCCCCTTTGAGGATTATAATTACACTGTTTTCCAACTATTATTGGTGTATTTTTTAGCAAGTATGGAGGGCGGTTTTGTCCACTAAAATTTACCCGCCATATCTCCTGTTATTTTCGCGCCAAATGAAATAAGTACTGGGATTTAAATGCTTTTCGATTTATTTTGGTTAAATGAAATCTAAAAACCCAAACTTAATTCACTCAATTGATTATTTAAATTTAAATTCAAATAAAAAATAACCACAACCACGATCATACAAATTATAATCTAAATACAATATATAATTTAATAAAAAAATTAAATATTTTTTTAATAATATAATATTATTACAAGATAGTATTAATTCTTCTAGAATAACAACATTCACTTTTATTATCAATGCCGCTCAATATATTCATAATTAAATAGATTTAAACAAAATACAATTTTAAAACTAAACATTGTAAAATATATTTCACGTCACTCACTTATGTGTTCTGTCATAAACAAATCACTCAATTAAGATATGTATAAATTACAAATTTGGTAACTGAGCCTTATCATATATCCTATTTCACTTACTGTACTTAAAATCTTTTCAATTTTCTCACTAAACCTAATACATTGGGTTTTTTTGGTCACTCGACCGTTTTCTCACTACAGGCGTTATATATGGGATGTTATATAGATGCAAAACGACATCGTTTTGGTGAAAATTTTGTTTTTTTAAAAGGACATCGTTTTAACCCCGTTAACTATTTAACGACGGAGTGACCAAAAAAAATCTAATGTATTAAGTTCAATGAAGAAATTGAAAACTTTTAAAGTTAAGTGAGCAAAATAGGAGAAAGAATAGAGTGCAGTGATGAAATTTGTAATTTACCCTTAAGATATTGTTCCAAACATATTAATCTATTGTTAAAATTGAAATGAACATTTAATATTACTTGATAAACTAGTATTTTAATCTCCAAAACTTATACGTTCTATAAATTTTATCATAATTTGAAATAATTCAATAAATTTAACATTTAATATTAAAAATTTCATCAATAGTTTTTTCTTATGATACTATCAAATTAAACAAACCCATCGAATCAAATAAATAATTAGGTAATTGAAATGTCATATAACAACAATAAATCATTGTGAAATTGTTACCACCCCAAATGTAAACGCATTGGACTTACTCACATCCCCTTCGCTGATGACCTCCTTATCTTCTGCAAAGGCGATGTTGATTCAGTCTTAGGGGTCACTGCTATTCTTGATGCCTTTTATGAAATGTCTGGTCTCAAATTAAATGCTTCCAAATGTGAATTGTTTTCAGATGGTGTTTCTCATCCCACTCTTGATGAATTGAAATCGATTACTGATTTCAAACTTGGCAGTCTGCCAATAAGGTACATGGGCATCCTTTTGGTCACAACGAAAATAACATAATCAGATTGCTCTGCTCTTATTGACAGTATTAAATCTAGATTGCATCAGTGGTCAGGTAGGGCTTTAAGCTATGCTAGCAGATTGTAGCTCGTTCGAGCAGTTTTATTTAGCATCACTAATTATTGGTGCAGACAACTCTTCATTCCCTTCTCTGTAATTAAAAAGATTGATCAATTATGCTATAGATTATTTTGGAAAGGGGCTGATAAATTTGTTGTTGGCGCCAGAGTGAGTTGAAAGAAAATCTGCCAACCAAGATCCGAGGGAGGTATAGGACTGAAAGATCTGAAAACGTGGAACAAAGCTTGCATGATGATCCTAATTAAAATTTTGGCTGGTGAAGGTTCTTTGTGGGTGGCTTGGCTTGGAAGGTATATCTTTAATGCAAATGATTTATGGTCTATTATTGTCAAAATAATATGAGTTGGACCATTAAACAGATTTTGAAACTAAGAAATTAAGCTTCCTCTATTATATACTATGGCTCTAAGAAAATTATTGAATTATGGAATGAGATTGGGGTAAAGAACCCTAAATTTTATTGGCACTCTCTGCTATGGTTTCCTCTTCTCATTCCAAAACATAGCCTCATAGCTTAGATGGCATTCCTTGACAGTCTCCCTACTAAAGAAAGGCTCCACTGAATGGGGATCGTTAATGACTGCCACTGCATCTTCTGTGGTGTTGGCATGGAAACTAGAAACCATTTATTTTTTTTGAGTGTCCCACTGCCACTGCATTATGGTCTGCTCTCTTTGCTATCAATGGTATTCGATTTAGGCACACTTCATGGAAAGCTCTCTATGATTGGGCTGTTGCAACTTGGAAGGGTAAATCCCTACTAACTTCTTTAATGAAAATTTCTTCAAATGTTTTAATCTACACTGTTTGGAAAAAAAGGAACAAGAGACTCTTTCAAGGTCGAGCTTCAACTGTCGAAGATATGTTCAATGCTATCAAGGAAATTGTTGGATTTCATCTAAGGGGAAGGCCTATTAATAGATAAAACACTGTTAATATTAATATTTGTAATCAATGGGGTATAGTTTGATTTTGTTTGATTGCCATTTTTTGATTTAGGGCAATCTTTGTACTCCGAACATTGATTATTTTTTGAAGCAGTTCTATGATCTTTGGGTAATAAAACTAAATTATCCCAAAAAAAATAACATGAAAGTAATAAAACATTTTAAAGAGAAAAATAAGCAATTTACAGAATAAAATGTAATCATCTAAATTTTTGAGTCAACGTTTGAGGGTTGATATGAGAAGTATATAAACAACGAAAGAGTATAGTTAGACCTTTAAGATAAAATATAAGTTTATATTTTTTTTATTAATCTGAGAATGACTATAAGATACTATATGTTCGAAAGACTATTAATCTATTTAACAATAAATACTCAAACACCCTTAACATACAATGTGCTCGAATCCAAAATTATAATTTTTCATACAAATAGGATGTAGAATCCAAGATATCCTAAATAAATTTTAAAATATATTTTAGTCTAAACAACCTATTTAATATCTAAACTATTACTCTTATTTTTATTTTGGTATCCAATCTTTTTTTCTTCAAAACCATACCTAATATTTAGATTAGATTTTAATTTGGTACCCGTCGTTAAATTTAATGGGAGAAATCTAAGAAAATGCAACTTAATTTAAGGCTGACAAACGGCATAAATAGGCGCGATAAAAAATGTGAGAAAAACCATAACAATTTAGGTTGAGCACGAACGAAAATGTGATATTATTTATAATATTTCAGGTTGCAACCATTAAAAAGTAAAAAAATAGTAGTAGAACCGAGAAACTATAATACAGTAAGTATCTATACTTAGTTACAAGTATCGATACAAGTCGATACTTGTCGTGACATAAGTATTGAAGCACATTTAACATTTTAGGTAGCAATCGAATATGTTTTCGAAGATATAACATTTTAGGTTGGACTTGATAACATTTTAGGTTGCAACTAAGTATTGATATTTGTCGTGAAATAAGTATTGAATCACATTTAACATTTTAGGTTGCAATCGAAAATGTTACCAAAGATATAACATTTTATGTTGGAATGGATAACATTTTAGGTTGTAACTAAGTATCGATACTTAGTTAGGTATAATTTAAAAAAAAAGCTTGAGTATCAAAATGAAATAAAAATAATAGTTTAGATACTAAATTTGTAATTTACCCTGTATTTTAAAGAGCTGGTTAACAAATATTCATGAATAAACTTATCAATGAATGAGTAGCTTACTTTGTCCGGGTCCAAGTACAGACTTTTTACCTTGAGTCAGCTTAACTCTCCACTGCCCAGCCCAGTTTAAATTTAATTAATAAATATATTTTTATTAAAATTAAATTATAAAACATATATATTAATATAAATTATTTTAAATTTTTTTTGTTAATTCATGAATATCAAAATGAATCATTAGACCGCATCTGATTAACTTTGAGCACAATATTGGGTTTTTAGAACTTGACAGTAATTATCCCGATTCATAAGTAAATTTATTCACGATCACTAGTTGAAAATAATTAAATTATTAATTTAAAAAGTATATTTATTATACTATTTTCTTTAATTGAAAATCATTTATTAAATAAATATACTATTATGTATGAAATTTCTAATTGAATTAGTATCATAAATTAAATGGGCACTACCTCAGTTACAAAATATTCATAAAAGATATAATTTTAAATGGAATAAATAAATTAACAACGTTGTGTTGTTATTATTACTATTATATTTTTGAAGGGAAGGAAAGGGGACGAACTTTAAATCCAGAATAAGGTATAAATATTATTTAATTATTGATATAATCAATTTTTTATAAGATAAAAACCTCTAGTTTTATTAAAATTTAAAAATATATAAATTATAACGAGGATTTACTATTACAATTATAATCGTAAACTAAACAGATAATAAGTGATTTTCTTATAATCGTTAGTAAAAAAAAACTAGTCACTTAAGATTACACAAAGATCTTACAAGGAAAATATTAAAAAATCTAACCAAATAAACTTAAATAAAGATAGATACGGACAAATCTATTTGCATCGACAAACTAATCACAAAAGGGGATCTTACAAGGAAAATATTAAAAAATCTAACCAAATAAACTTAAATAAAGATAGATACGGACAAATCTATTTGTATCGACAAACTAATCACAAAAGGAGATCAAACTACTAAAATACAACAAACAAATCGCAATTCATAACCGAGCGACGTGAAAAAACTATATATGAGTACAAATTACATATCAAAATTAAATCTAAGGGTCTAAAGCAGAGAATATCAAGATAACAAATAAACATCACATTGATTAGTTGTGACAATGTCAAATCCAACCATGAGAAAAAGATAAATAAAAATAACGACCAAACGATAAAAAAACGTGTCATAAAGACAAAGTAAAACAAACTATAAATACGCAATTATTAAAAATAAAAAAAAAGAAAAAATGTGATATAATAAAAGAAAAGAAAATAGTGAATACTGTTAGTTGATGATCAATATTAAGATTAATATCGTTGTCAGTCA